ATTTTATAGTATATTCTTGAGATAAAGATGTCCAGATCAATCAAATTTGTCGAACTATTTACATCAAGTTTAAGTGATAGAATTATTTGCCTAAAAGGAAGTTTCATCAGAAAAAATTACTTATCCCAATTCCATATTTTTTGATGCCCAAGCAATTTTTTTTTTACTTTGCTTCAATATTTCATTATATATATTCATTATAGATACGTAAATGTCTTCTTATTGTTATTAATATATTTATACTTTTTATTGCAATGTCGCTTACTTATGCAGTAATAGACGAGTATTGTTCGTAAATATCCGTACTATTAGTTTATCCTCTTTTTTTTATCATTTTCTGTGTAAAGCCACATTTCGATAGGTCATTAACATTTTTCATCTTTACGTAGCAATTTACCCACTTATTTACATAGATTAGATTTAGATTAGATCTTTTTTTTATACTTAACAGCCATTTGGCGTGACATTCTTCGTCGGATGTATACAGAGAAACATTGCTTCGAATCGTAATACTTATACGTATACATTCATGGCAAAATATATATTTTTGTTGCGAAGATCAAGTATAAATTTTCTCTAGAAAGTATCTTAAAGGAAACTTCCCTCGGTTTCCGTTGTAATGACGCAAAAATAGAAATAACATATTAAGCAAAAGTAAAAATTTTAACATAAAAAAATTATTAAATATATTTATCATATAATTTTCTAAAATTTTATTCTCGTTTTTATTTTGGCGTTCAGAATCTTATATTGCATTCTTATTAGCTTCTTCGTCGCTTAATATATATTTATAATATTTAGATTAATTTCTGCTGTTTATATTATAATTATATTGTTTATATTAAATCTTGAAAAAAAGATATCTATATGTGCGTAAATCGAAATTATATATAATATGAAATCGAGTAAGTAAATAAAAACTGAGAATTATCAGCAATTTCATCTAACAAATTATGAAAATAATTTTGTTCACGAATCTTTGAAAATGCTTATAATTCTTAATTTCTTAAATATTTTTCATTTTTTAACATATGTACAAATTTATATAATTTACTAGACTCCATTAAAAAACATTATATAAATTTGACTCCGACTTTTACGAACACTCTGTACAGAGTAAAATGGAAATGATAATAATAGTAATTATATAAATATAAATATATAAATATAATATATAAATATAAATATAAATTATAATATTATTATATAAATGTAATTATAATAAATATAATTCAATATATATGAATTGTCATTTTATTTGAAAAATAGAAAAATTTATCTGAAGGTAAAAGTTGTTAGGTATCTTTGATTGTACAGCGATACATTTGTTATCATTTTTATACGTGTTATATACAGAGTGCGTGACAACTTCCGGAATATTATTTCCGGAATATAATTTATTAAACAAAATGAATAGAGCAAAACAGGCAAAAAAGCCACTACGCTAGATTAATGATAGCTACAATTAAAAGAAAATTTTAATATATAATAAGTCAACACATGTTCATATAAAAATAATCAGTTGATCGCTTAATTAAAACGACAGACGTACGTTTCGATCCCGTTCGGATCATTATCAATGTCTAACAGAAAAAATTTGAAATTAACGGAAAATTATAAAAACAAAACATAAATCAAAGTCGCAATAAAATCGATATAAACAGAGATCTCACGGACGCAAACAGAATAAATACAAGAACAATATTGTACTGGGACTTTCTGTATATAAAATATATATAAATTTCTCTTCACTTTCCATAATTTATTAAAAATATATTTTTTTTTGCTAAAGATTCAATTTATATTAATAATTAAATACGAAGATAACTTGGCTTATGCGTATATTCTCAAACTTTGATAATTTGACATTAAATTATTCGATTATCACCGAAGCGATTTGATAGTACCGTTGCCTAACTGGCACTTACTAGCATTTTCCGCGTTGAATCGCGAATCATTGGAGGAGAATCCGCGGGCGGTCGACGGCGTCGCGGATAAATCCCTCGGCAAACCGCGCTGCGATGGTGAAAGCTACGGGAAATTACAAAAGTCGGAAGCGGAAACAGAGGAAGGACGAGCTTTTAATATCGCCGGGCGTCATTCTGGCTTTAGATCCTCGCTGTTGCCTGCGACCGGTTCGATTTTCTATTCCACGCTCGTCCCGCAATTCTTTCCACATCTACGAGGCGGGTCGTCTCGTCAAAGATGCGATCTCTTACCTATGGTCAGAAGAGCGCTTTCTCAATTTATTATTTAACATATTTATTTAATATATTTATTTAATATATTTAATAAGAATCTAAGATGATTTGAATCATGTTATTTTCAGAAAACGCAAAACATGAAAAACTTTATAATTTAAGTTACAGATTGTATTTGTGTAATGTTCTTATCTATTTTTTCTCTTTTTTGAGAATATACTCTAATTATTAATTTATCATTATTAATTTATATATATTAAGATTAAAAATGGAAAATAAGAAATAGAAAGTAAAAATAATACTTACATTATGAAGTTATAAAAAATATTTATTTGATAATCGACATGCGTAGTTATTTTGAATCTAAATCAAGATCGATACTAACTCTATATGCATATAAATCTTATTTATAATATTGTTTTAGGGAAAGTTACGTAGTATCTGTTGTTGCCTAGTATGAGATATTTTTTTCATTGCAATTATTACATGGTAGATGCTTACAATTCATTAGATAAAGCCTTATTTATTAGTCTTTTTCATAACTTCTAAAAGATGTAAAAATTTAATCAATCAAAAATAATTAATGTATATAATTATTTTTATTGTTACTGCTTTTAAATATCAAGCAAAAATTATTAAATTATTATTTATCTTATTTTTACCGCAAAAAATAAGTAAACGTAATTTTCGAATTGTGTTATGTCAATGTATGTATTATTAAAATCACGCTGTGCGATAGTAAACAACGATACATTAGATGTGTATAAATAAAATACATCCGCATAATGACTTTAGTGATTTCGATTATACAGATAATATATTTTTTTGTGGATGGTTCTTTTATATGTGTGTGTGTGTGTGTGAATGTATAAATGCGCATAAATTATAAATTATAAATTTCGATAAATACAGAAAAAGACTTTAATTCTTGTTTTTTTATTTTTTAAAGATTGATCGTGTTTTCGTATATTTTTAAAAAATCTTTTACTTGTATTAATTATTTATTCTACGTATATTACTATATACAAAATAAATATAAAAGAGAAAAAAAGAAGAGAGAAATATAAAAAAAAAAAAAATAAAAAGAAAAGAGAAAGAGGAAGAGAGTTTAAAATATGACTTATTCATAATTTTGAAATATTTTATATTTTGCGTGGGAAAAGCTTTATCAATAATGTAGTGACAAAATATAAAAAAATAACATGAAATGGACGTAATGTTTAAATAAATTATATAACATGAGAGTGTAACGTAATATTTACAATATAAATTTTTTATTAAATTCTGCTATTTTTAGTAAATATAAGACTTTTAATGCGCAGATTATTTGAAAAAATAAATGTGAAATTATTAATTTGATTTTTGGCACCAAAATGATTTAATAACTCATTTGATTGTAAATAAATCGTTAAGAATTATTTGTATATCAATAAATGAAATAAATCGACTAAAAACTTTCACGAATTTATTTATGTTAATGCGAACAAGCTGCCAAATAGTGAACACTGGTAGTAATAAAAGTAGAATTTTGTATTTTATCAAACAAAATTAAGCATTATTTACAAAAGCATAATGCGATCTCAATTTATCTCTACACATCTATCTTATACAATTAAATTAAAAAAATTAACATAAGAACACGATGAATAAATAAATTAAATAAATTTAAAAAATTGTAATAATTATGTCTAATAAAAAGTTATTTTCCTTTATTCAGTATACATTTCTTCAGTATTGATTAACAAGCAATATGATCAATCAATAGTTGAAACAACTTATATAGATTATGTTTTAATATAGTTTGCAGGGAGCTTGTCTATCACGATTTTTTATAGATTTCTAATATTATTAAAAATATAAAAAGCTTCCTTTCAATTTCTGAAATAAGAAATATCGCAAAATAGTTAACTCGAGAAAATAAACAAGTAGATGTATTTGTTCTCAAACAAATAATTGAAAGTGTCAAAGATATATAAAACATATTAAATTTTAACTAAAATATATGACTGTATTTGATGTATATGTAATTGTATACGATGCTTAAATACGTCACTGTTGTATTAATAAAGATTTTATGATGACTGATCTAGATTTTAGGCCGTGACGAAATCCTAAAGAAGCTCGACAGATGTGACGTTACCGCGATCGATGATGAATCCGTAGAAATTGCATCGCGAATTTTCATGCTATGTCAACGTTGTTCGTTCTCTTGTGAGTCGACGATGATCATGTAAACACCTTATTACGAGTAAATTTTACGGGTCTTTGAATCTTCTGAAAGTAAATGAAAGTTTCAATTAATTTCCTTATCAGCTCACTTCAGAGTTGAAGAGTACGTGTCCATCAATGTACACTCGGCAACCAAAATGCCTTAACACCTGAATTTGCCCGTGTCAAGGCATATTCGGACGACGTACTTCCACTCTATTATAATTGCGCGTCATGACTATTTAATATCTGGCAACGATGTTTCAAAGTGATTTTAAATTCAAACTAATGTGTGACATATCTGAAAAAGTGGTTTGACATATGTCAAATATGTCAAAATGTATATGATTAGAAAATAAGTAATGCACATTAATTATATAAAATATTAAAATAAAATATATTAAATATATAAAAAATATAAAGTGTGATATGAATTACACATATTAAGTTTTTATATTTGAACAGCAGTCGCTCATCCTCAAATCTGCGACACACAATAAAAAACTGGCATTAATATGTGTAATTCATATCATGCTATATTTTTTATATATTTAATGTATTTTATTTTAATATTTTATATAATTAATGTGCATTACTTATTTTCTAATCATATACATTTTGACATATTTGACATATAACCACTTTTTCAGATATGTCACACATTAGTTTGAATTTTGCGTAAAATCGCTTTGAAACATCGTTGCCAGATATTAAATAGTCATGATGCGCAATTATAATAGGGTGGAAGTACGTCGTCCGAATATGCCTTAACACGGGCAAATTCAGGTGTTAAGGCATTTTGGTTGCCGAGTGTACAGTAATTTTCGTGATCTGAACTGATAAAGAATCATCACATGTTATCTGTAAGGTACGATTAGTGAATAAATTGGAAGTGACGTAAAAAATATCACATAGAAAAACATAATTTTGATGTAAATTCTTATTTTTACATTTTTTTATTATAGAAATTATTTGTAATTACGTATATCATTATCTTTGAACTACGTTACAATATTTTTCCAAGAAAATGTTACTTCTGACATTTAGTTTGTTTCCAACTTTTTCTGGGGGACGGAGTTCTTTGTTTACGTATTTTCTCGAACGTTATCATCAATCAATTGCAACATAAAAGGTCTTTATAGTGTTTTCTAAAAATAAGAAATTAATTTTTTACTACAATATTATCATACTTATATTAAAATATGTATCTAAGACTTTTAATAATCCTAATTGTATTTTTACATTATTTTTGTTGCAGATAGAATGAATTTGGAAGAGTATCGCAAACATGGTAAGTAAATATATGTACATAAACATACATAATAATATTGAAAATAATAAAAATTTATGAGATTATTATTTAAATTTATCTATCAGCGATTATTCATATAAAATGACATTTAATTGTATAATTCTATAAATACACTTAGATATTGGAAGAAAAACAAGTTAAAGTGATATGTGTGATATTTTACAAAAAATTTCAAGATTAAAAGATTTCATTATTAATATGAATCAGTATAAATCAGAATCAAATGCATGGGATCTATTGCGATGAATAAATCAAGCCATTTCAGAGCAATGATTACACGACGTTGAAACAGCATCAATAAATAGAGATTACCGATAGAATTGGTAGAGGCTTTATAGGTGCGATATTGTTTCCAATACAACATCATGACGTTACAATCTAAATCTTCCGCTTCGGAACTACGAGACTTGGCGTGACTCGCTTTTCTCCCGTTATTTCAATCTCGGTCGATCGTTCTGTTCATCGGTCCTGTTAAATTAGAGTTGACAATATAATACATATCATTTTATACTACAATACAAGATTATGTGTTTATCGATAATTGTTAGCAATAACAATGAATATAATAAATTATCTTTTTTTTGGAATGCTTATAAAAAAATAGAGTAAATTAATAAATAAATATAACATAATATAAGTTAAAGTAAGTAAAAGGATAGAGAAAAAATAACTTTAAAAACTATTCTGATACTTGTCTTAAAGTCTATTTTAACAATCTTTTGTTTAAGACGCTATATATAAAAAAGAACAATTACGTACAATTACGTTTTCCAAATACGTTTTTTAAACAAAGAATTTCGATTGTGCGAAATAGTGTCACCTTTGAAAATTCTTGGCTTTTCTTTGGCATAGAATAGCTTTTCGATACCTCAATATATCTTTTGTTTCTGTTCGATTGCATTTAGCTACAAGATAATGACAAATACATCAAATTTTAAACGAAGAGGATTCACAAACTCAATTTCTACAGTTTGCTTACAATGCTTACCACTACAATTTTAAATTCTAGTAGTTTTGTTGCAATTCTCTTCTCTAAAATAATTGTATGTTGTTTAAAAATTTTGCAGGAAAGGAAATGGTAGATTACATCGCTGATTACTTGGAAAATATCCGTTATCGACGCGTTTATCCAGCAGTTTCGCCTGGATATTTGAGAAATGTCTTGCCGGCATCGGCTCCAGTAGACGGCGAGTCTTGGGAGAACATATTTGCTGACATTGAGAGATGCATTATGCCAGGCGTGACACATTGGCAGAGTCCGCATATGCATGCTTACTTTCCAGCTCTGAATTCACCTGCCAGTTTGTTGGGCGACATGCTGGCTGATGCAATAAACTGTCTGGGTTTCACCTGGGTAAGTACAATTTTGTATCTTCTTTTTTTTAATTTTTTTATATTTAAAATAATTAGTATATAACAATTTTTGTCATTTCGCAAATATAGTTGACAATAATCGTATATCGAATTTTTTTAAATTAATAAAGAGATCGATTAATATTTTTTAAAAATACGGTTTTTTATTTCTATTTAGAATCTAATATATTTAAGATTTGCCATATATGAGTGGAATACTTAACGAAATATTACGGGACTTAAAACACATAATTTATGTCTTTTGTACAATTGTTTAAAGCTTATCTCACATATAATATATTAATACGTTTTAATTATTTAATTAATACTATAGAGAGTAATTGCGTGCGAATTAATATATCAGAAGAATTTAAATCTATAAGCTTTCAAAGAAATAATCGTCTTGATATGATATTCATATCAATGATATCGAGATGATTAATCATCTTGATCATCTTGATTTAAATTTAAGATAAGATATTATTTATATAGGCTTCCAGTCCAGCGTGTACCGAGTTAGAAACGATTGTCATGAATTGGTTAGGCAAAATGATCGGACTGCCTGAAGATTTTTTGCATCGACCTGGCGGTTCTGGTGGCGGCGTCATTCAAACGACGGCGTCAGAAGCGACACTAGTGTGCTTACTTGCAGCCAGAACCAGAGCTATCAGAGACGTGCAGGAAAATGAACCAGACCTTTTAGCGACAGAGATCAATTCGCGACTAGTTGCATACTGCTCAGATCAGGTCTGTAGTCGCAGTCTTGATTAAGTAATCTATGAAATATAAAAATGCATCTAAGACAAAGTAAGAGAACGCAAATTCTTCTCTGACACTTTATTTAAATGTATGCGACGGTTGGGAATAATCGCATAAAAGTAACGAGAAAAGAAATAATAACAGTGAGAATGATAAATACTACATATTGCGAGAAAGAAATATAACATAAGAAAGAAATCTCAAGGTGTTCTTTTAAGAGCTCTTTAAAATGCACTTAGATATATTACATAGATAGATGGAAATGTATACTATTGAAATAAGTTTCCTCTCGAATATATTAAAACAATTTAAAATTGTCTTTAATAAATAAATGAAATGTGAAATAAATAAAAAGCGTTTTTTTTGAAAATTATTTTTGAAATGTGTTTTTAAATTCTACATTAAATTATTAACAGTATTAAAATGTTAAATAAAAATATTATATTTGAGTTTTAACTCTTATGAAGATAACTTTAAAATCTGATTTATGAAAAGAGTTGGAATTAAAATCAAAATTTTATTAATCAAAATTTTTGCGCAGAATAATAAATCAAATATTTTTTTTATAAAAGAATATTTCTTTAAACAAAAGATTTAATAATTTAAAAAGACATTTACTTTGTTATAAATTATTCTATATTTTTGTTGTTATTTATTTAATAGGCACATTCGAGCGTGGAAAAAGCTGGACTTATAGGACTGGTTCGAATGCGATATATCGAATCCGATAGTGAATTCAGTATGAGAGGAGATGCTTTAATTGAAGCATTAAAGCGTGATCAAGCTGAAGGACTGCTTCCTTTTTTCGTAAGTTTTTATAAATACTATTTCTGCTACATATTTCTGCTGCATTAAAAAATTTTTGATATATTTAATATTTAATATTTGTATTCAAACAGTTTACTAATTATATTTGGTACAATCTATCTATTAATCAAATTATCAAATATAAAATCTTATTTTATTTGTGATTGTTTTGAATTATTAAAATTTTGATATAATAATAATAATAACAAATTGATTAATTAATTAATTTACGTACTCTTATTTTTATATTAAACAATTTTTTTTATTATATATTATATATATATTTATTCTGTATTCTCCCTCCTTTTCTTTATTTCTTTCTCTATATTAAAAAACATAAAACATCTTCTGATTATTAGATTACTTATTGTTTTTGATTTTATTATTTACTTAATAAATAATTTATTATTTTCATCAAATAATATTTTTCTTTTCTATTTTATTATTTATTTTATTATGTGACTTTCTTATTAAAAATTTGTAGGTCGTAGTAGATTGTAACATAGCAGATTCTAATAATAATACCGGAACAAATACTAAATCTGCGATTACTAATGCGTCGCGAACGCAAACCTTTACAAACTAGTAGTATAAGTATACATATAGTTCGGCCAGTCCGCCAATTATATCTCCAGACAAGCGTGGGTTCCATGAGTTAAGCTGGCTCGTCGCTAGTTAGTCCCATAGGAATCTCCTAGTCCGATTTGAGTTTTACAAGTGCCCACGATAAAAATACTTATTATAATCGAGACTTTTCGCCGAATAATATTTTTCTGGAGTTTATTTAGTCAATCATTATATTTATTTAGTTTTTTTGGTAAGAGATGTTTGATTAACAGTCAATTCTTTTAATATCTATTTCTATCATAAGAAATAGACAAAATATAATGATAATATGATTAAAATTGATAAGGAAAATAGATTTTGAAACAAATAGTAGATACTGTTATATATATTTATTATATATATTTTGAAATTGTATCATTTTGAGAAATACGTTTTTGAATTTATTAAGAAGAAGTAAGTAAGAAGTTTTAGAAATTTTAAAATAAATTAGACATTGCAAAAAAAATAATTTATTGTCTTCTCAATTATATAAAAAAATCTATTTTGCACATGATGTATATGACTTTGCATAGGTATGCGCAACTTTAGGTACGACTGGAGCATGTTCTTTCGATAATCTGAAAGAAATTGGACCAATATGTGAGTATCAAATTTACTTAAAGTATCAGTTATGTTTATAACTAGTTTGTTTTTACAAATATTTTAAAAATGTGTTATAGTAATTTTTAAATATTTAACGCTATTATTATAGGTCAACAAAACGGTTTATGGTTACACGTCGATGCGGCTTATGCAGGTAGCGCTTTTGTGTGTCCTGAATTTCGCGGTTGGCTTCAAGGGGTGGAACTCACCGATTCGATTGCTTTCAATCCAAGCAAGTGGCTCATGGTCCATTTTGATTGCACAGCCATGTGGTACGAGCAATATCATAATGTATTTATCTTCTCAGTGAAAATATGTTATGAAAACGAAATAATTTTTTTAATTGTTCCAGCATTAATAATCTAAATATTTGCATAATAAATTTGGTTTAAATAATTAAATTTTTATCTATAATTTCTAAAGAAAATTATCACAATATATCAAAATTTGCACTTTTTATTATATATATATATATATATATATATATATATATATATATATCATTAATTAATTATACATGATTAAATTTAAGAAAGTAAGTCACGTTCTTTGAGAGATTATCTACCATTTTTTGATTTTCATTTTATTAGTTGAATTGCGGAGGTACGGTCATCTTTTTCTGTTCCTTCCGCAATTTCCTTTCGAAGCTTTCAACGATCGAACGCAGTTCACAATCTTTCGGAATATTATTTGAATTACGTTTAAAGCCGATAGCTTCAAATCACAAATTAATAACATTTTTTATCGTTTTGAATTGCGATATATTTATTAAATTATAGTCTCTTTGCGCAAATTCATTCACTTAAACAATATAAGTTATGTAAAAAGTTTATTTTATTTCACTAGATGACAATGATTTAATTTGTAAAATGTAAAATCTGATTGCAAATAATTATAAGATGATTACATCTGGAAAATCTGTTCAAATATATTTCCGATATATTGTACAATCCAGAATCAAATAATGAATGTTACCAAGATATGTGTATAAGGTTATCAAGAATTATATTAAATCTTTTTAAAAAAATGATGATTATTATTATGTTTTTTGTGATTATTATTATTACTATGTTTTTGTAAATAATGTAACCGTTAATGTCGCACGTGATTAAATAAAATATACTTTAGAAAATGTAAGCAAAGCATACAGCGAGTTAAAAAAGCACATTTTACATCTATTGAATATATAATGAATATGCATAAATTGAGAAAATCAGGTATTGATTTCTCTTTGACGTATATTTTTTTTATTTTCAGGGTAAAAAACAGTCAGGCGCTGCACAGAACTTTTAATGTGGATCCGCTGTATTTGAAACATGAAAATTCAGGTCAATTTTTGTAATTTAATAAATTCTACTTTAATATTCTACAAAAAATTAATTATAAATTATTAGAAAAATACCTCTATTTTAAATCTTTTATTCTTCTCTATTATCTTTGTTATTTATAATTTATATTATTTATAATTATTTTTCATATATATATATATATATATATATATATATATGAAGTTTTTTGTATAGTATTATATGTGTAAATATTAAATAAGCATTTATATTATTAAATATCTTTATCTTTTTTTAAATATTAATTACGTGTATTTTAATACTAAACATAAAATTCTAATATAAAATTTTCCTTTAATAGGTCTTGCTATCGATTATATGGTAAGCAATAACATATTATAAAAAAATGTTTTATAATAATTTATCATAAAATAAGGAAAAAAGATTATATGTAAAAAATAAGGGAAAATTAACAAGAATTTTATTTGTACATATTATACATATAATAAAATACTTTTTGATATTATATAATTTATTTTTAAAAGAAATAAATAACATATGTAAATTTTTAATTGTTACTTATTCTTTATTTCAATATTAATTTTAGCACTGGCAAATTCCTCTATCCAAGAGATTTAGGGCTCTAAAACTGTGGTTCGTTATCAGAAATTACGGAATTACGGGATTGCAGAAACATATAAGAGAAGTAAATAATATCAAATAAATATATACATTTCTTATTAAGAAATTAATCTAATAAAAAATGTTTAAAAAATAAAATTACCTTAAATTTGATTAGCGTTTTCTTAATTTTGTATATAAGTTACATACATATAAGTTTGAAAATATTAAATTCAAAGGGCGTGAGATTAGCACAAAAGTTTGAAGCTCTAGTCTTTGCTGATGCCCGTTTCGAAATTACTGCTCCAAGACATCTTGGCTTGGTGGTCTTCCGTCTTCGCGGTGAGAACACTTTGACTGAACGTTTGTTAAAGAAGCTTAATTCGCGGGGTCGATTACATTGCGTACCAGCCGCCTTGCATGGGAAATATGTCATCAGGTTTACAGTTACTTCGACAAAGTACGTCTCTGTGTTTTTCAATATAATTACATTAAATCAAGGATTAAGATTAAACTATTCATAATTCAAGTATTTTTTGAGTAGATGCTATTTTTTAAATAAATATATATATTTTATATATATATTTTAATGCATGTTTTTATCGTAATATATTTATAAATAAAAACTTATTCTTACAGCACAACAAATCAAGATATTGTAAGGGATTGGGCGGAAATACGAAATACCGCGAACGAAATTTTAGGTGATACTTCCGAATCACCGGTACGAGCCAGAGTTCCTCTCGCAGGTAATAACAAATTAGGATTCAAATATCTTCAAGAGACTTCACAGGCAAAAATCTATAATAATAATAATAATAATAATAATAATAATAATAATAATAATAATAATAATAATAATAATAATAATAATAATTTTAAGGTGTTCTTTTAAAAAAAGCAATTTGCATTAAGATGAAATAGAGATATAAATAAAAACATCATGAATCGATATGCATATATAAAATAAATGCGCATGTCTAAAAAGATTGTATATCATGTTATATTTGTTTAATAAAGCATGTTTCATTTGCGTGATAAAGCATGATAAATTAAAATTATTTTCTATATAAAAGATGACTGACAATGAGTAAAATGAGTTAAATAAGTAAGTTAAAATAAGTAAGTAATATCTTATTATAAAATAAATATATAATAAAATTAATATATAAAATTAATTTTAATGACATGAAGATACGAAACAGAAGAATGAAAATTTTGGATCGAGCTTATTATTGGCCAATTCACCGATGTCACCAAAAATTGTGAATGGTAGCTTTGCTGCCATATATGACACAGCCGATGTATTTGAAGAATGCATGAAGACTTTTGGGAAGATTAATATCGAGGCAAAGGATAGTCCAGGTAAATATTCAACATATTATACGATTTTTAAAATGAACCGTAAAACTATAAAATAACTGTGTTTATTAGAGAAATGTTAATATGCATGTAAAAATATATTCGTCAATACAATTCGAATGTTCTAATTAAATAGAATTAAAAAATAAGAAAATATATACATATATTCGTAATGTCTATATTTTTTTCATAATATTCCTACATATTATTTTGTGTTTGTTATTTTAGCCATACGTCGTCGTATTCGCGGGATACTTATGTCAGGGAAACAGTTTTCATTGGATTCTCGCATGGATCTCGTCCAGGTACTTAATACTTAAATTGCTAATTTTTATTTTTATATGTTGAACACTTTACATATATGAAATATATATGATATATATGAAATTATATATATGAAATTATACTGAATAACTAAATAATATTGTGAACATGTATTTTCTAGGGATATGTTTGCAGCCGTCCACTTTTGGCTTCTCCTTCCGAATTACCGTTAATGAAAGAAGATGAATATACCGGGGCATGCGAATCTGATGTCGAGAAAATGAGCGAATCTGATAATGGTATATCGATTATTATAAATAATAAAAATAATATGATATATGCGTAATCTAATATGATTATTACAGATAAATCACTTGCTCATAATAATTGGGTGGAATCTGACAGTTCCAAAGCATACGAGAATAAACTGTCGAAGGCTGGTTCGAATTACGTAGTAGTAAACGGCGCACTAGTCAGTACTGATGCCGAAAACAATGATGATAACACGGTAATCATCCCTTCGGCCAACGTAGGCTTTCCCAGAAGTGAAACTATAGCTGCTATTGGTAGTCGGCCCTATACAGATTTAGAACCTGTTCGAGTTTTAAGAGAGAAGTGGATGAAAGGGAAAGGAAGTGAAGAAGACGATGGCAACAAGGAATTGTGTAAAAAATGTGGTCACTACCCTACACGTCAGTAATTAGTTCGGCATTACCTATTCTTCATACGTTAAAAAGTATATTTATGTGCACTCGAAGCCACTTTAATGCATTTGCAATAATTTAAAATTATTTCTGCAACATATCATTAGCTAATATCAAGTGGAATTAGTAATGAATAAGTTATATTGTCTGATTAAGTAAATCTTAGAAATAATAGAATAATATATGATTTATGATTAATTAGAAGATTAACTTCGAAATCATTAAAATCTTAAAAATACCTACATCTTAAAATTACGTACATATTTTACAATTTTTTGAAAAATAGAATGTTTCTGAATGAGAAAGAAAAGTTAAAGATTTAATAAATAGATGCATACATATTAATAAATTTTTTAAAAGTTATTTATTTAATTTTTTAATTAGTTAATTTTATAAAAGTTATTTGTTTAATTTATTAATTTTTTAATTAGTTAACAATTTAATTGAGTTTAACAATTTAATTGAGAATTATGTTGTTTATTAAAATAATTAAATTTATAAAGCGTTGAAATGTTGACTTTACGTATATGAATGTACTAAAAGAATAACATGAAAGAAATAAATTATGTTTTATTTTATTTATTTTATTTTACTTATTTTAATTATTTATTTTATTCATCTCGGAGGCATCAACGGAGATTATAATATTGTTGTAGTTTTTGTTACTCATTAGAAAAATTGTAGTGATCAAAATGGCGTAGAGTGCAATATTTGTAAAAAACGTATGAAATCAAATAAATGCATAATATGACAAAATATTTAATAGTATATTAATTATTACCGCACTCTCTTTAATCTTTATGTGTATAAGATTTTAAAAATATATTAAAATATATAAATAAACAATACATATTTTATCGTAGATATGTATCTGACTAATGATCATTTCTACCAATGTAGATTAATTTTAATCTTGATTTAATTTGCTTTTCATCTTATTCTAATTCTAAAAATTAGAAGGAAAAGTAAATTAAACGGCGATTAAAATTAATTTATATTAGTAGAAATAAACATAAAAGTCTCTGCAAAAATATTTAACGTTGCATTAAAAAAATTAATTATTAATTAATTATTATATAAAGATTTTTAAAGAATTAATAAACATTAATTTAAAAATAATTATATTATATATCTACAAGAGTTACAAAAAATATATTCTCGTAACATTTATTTATTTATAATACATTTATGTATACATTATTTATGTATACAAATTAAATAGATCATTCTGTGTAATCGTGTGTCTACTTATACCTTTTGTTTACACTATATATATATATATATATATATATATATATATATTGTATATACACTTGTATATACATTCACACACATAATATTTAGATTTATTTATTAGAGAATTACTTAGATATAAAATATATAAGTTATTATTACACACACACACACACTCACACACACACACACATATTTATAGCATATGTGTCATTTTTAAATTAATATTTAATTTAAAATTTAATATTTAACATTTAAAATCGATTAAACTTAGATTGGCATTGAGTAATATAACATAAAATTATAAAATAATTTTTAAACTTAATAAGAATTATAAAGAAATAAATAAATATAATAATATTAATATTTAATATAGATGAATTATTAATATGATAAGGAATGATACAAAATTGAATATTAAGTTTTTAATAAATTAAGAATAATTTAATTTAATTTTCTTGTAAGATTTATTTTACATTTACAATTACTAAATTTAAAATCATGGAATATATGTATGTTTAACACTTTTTCGTTTATTATATAACTTAAAAAGTATTTTCTCTTTCTACTTGCAAAATTATTTACAAATTTGTGACAGAATATGTTGTAATAATGAAAGCGAACAGATTAATATTATAAATACATATAAGAAAAACGTTTCTTTGTTATTTCATAAAAGTAAAATTTAGCTAAATTTAAATTATTATTTAAGTCGAGTTAAATCGATATTTTTTATCGAAATTTATAAAAATAGATTAAGACCTATTAATGTGGTAAAATATGTTAATTAATTAATCACTTGAGAACAAAGGATATGTTTATCATTATTTTATATTTTATCATCGGCGATAATAGAAATATATTATATATAATATTCACATCGCCTTTTATTTCTACATTTACAAATAAAATGTAACACATGTCAACTTTATGATATATTACAATAAAATGAAAGTATATATATATATATATATATATATATATATACTTTTTTAATTTGTTTCTAATACATATATATTTATACAATTATACAATCGTATACGTGTAGCGCATAGAACAATATGTTATAGGAATACAATATATTCCAAATATTAATCCTTTAACTGTTATTTTGAGTTCACATCTTATTTTACGCAACATTATATTTTGTTTCATTTATCGTAGGACAAATATCAAATTTCTAATACATAAAATTAGAAATTTAAGTTATTGAGTTAAAGGATTAAAATATTCTTACTTATATCTATATTTGTCCTTACATTGCTATGTTAAATAATTCATATCATAAATAGGCTAATTTACTAGTTATAACGTAGATACTTTTCAGCTGCGAGGCTAGATTTAATATTGATTATTACTAGTAAGCGAGGATTCGATACTGGAATTTTCATGTTTCCGTTGCGACCCAGATGTGAAACGAGGAAACCTGCTCCTTTCACTCATTTGTTTTTCAACATTTCTCAGCTAATTTTTTAAAAATATTTATGATCATGATAGAATGATAAAAAATTTCTAATACTCTAGCTGGTTAAGCAGAAATAACTAGCTGAATAACTAGATTCTGAATTCATTGGAAAATTATTTTAAGATTTGATCTATATATATATGTATATTTAGGAAATACCCTATGTATTTTGACACATTGACATGATTCAGAATTAGCTAAGAACCTAAGCTATGATTCAGAATTATTCAAGAGAGAATTAATAAACTAGATAACTATACTTTAATTAGGTAAAACTTTATTTAGTTTAGCACTCATTCTTTTATCAAGATGTGACGTGAATAGTGTAACACTTTCTTATGTATAAGAAACATTCTTGAATCTACATAAATAAATATATTTACAAATATAAATAAGTTTGAAATACAATATATCACATAATAATTTTTGTTTTAAAGAAATTTTTGTTCAAAGAAATTTATTCAATGAAATTCATTCTCGTAAAAGAAAAACAATATCAGTTTTTGAACTAGCTATTGAAAATCAAATATAATTAGCATAATTCAACTCGAGCAGTTTTCTTGCGCGAAGGCGCTTATATTTAATATATAAAACAAATCACCTTAGATTGAGAGATCAAAGGATGCTGGATAAAATTAATTGAAGGTACAGAAGAAACCTAAATGATTAGAGGAGAGATATAGGAGCATAGATCGCAATAGAAACGTAAATAGATAGCCTCGCAGCCGCGCGTGCGACAATGAACAAATGACACGACACGAGCCCCATGGCTTGCCAGAGAAACATCGGTCTGCTCGCCATCAATCAAGCAAATACCGAAGCATATTTGGCAAGAGGCTTCGTTTCGGAAGCCTCTCTGTGAGGTCGTGCGCGTTCAGCTTGGCCGTGCCAGTCTTGAGCGATTTCATCGATGGACGGTTGCATTCGGTAGAGGCGAGGATTGCATTATCATCGAGTGGCAATCGATGTCATTGAAATTTTTTGTATTCATTTTTGCATGATATTCCTAATTGTTAAGAGATGACTTGATGACCATGATTTGTATCCCGATTAAAAATAAAATTATTTTACCAATACATTTCATATAATCGATAAATACCAGCTAAATAAAATTTTGCATTATATATAAATAAAGCGGTATATAACCAATATACCGGATTCGAATGCCACGAGTCGATGATTCAATAGTTTTCTTTGCTTATATGGTTGAGATCTGTTCGATAGGATTAAGCTTAATTTAGCAACTGAGTATGATTTTTATCAGAAGCTTCTTAATTGCGGTAGAAACGAAGCTGAAGGCCCACATTGCGCTTTGTTTTTCGTCTATTTTATGTTGCATTCATCAGTGGAAGCTATCACAGGTTATTCAATTGTTACAACTATTAATTTTAAGAATGCTGTTATTATTCTTGTTGCGATTGCAATCGAACGAGTCATAGGTGACTCGTATAGGAAAAAAACAGCGATATAATTCTTGGATATGCACGAGCGTGAACAAAATTTTGAATCTTTTAGATTTCAATGATCGCCTATACTAACTTGTATATAATTCGATAATGTACATGTAATAAGATTTAAGAATTTAGTGGGCATGTCGTTCGTTTTTGATCTCTGACTAGAAGTAGAATACTCATCCACACACAAGAATAATAACGACGGGGTCATGCAATTTCATGCAAGATGTTGCAGTTGTTTGAAAGTCGAATGCGTTAAAACTATTCCTTGTATAGATCATAGTTAAACGTAAGTATATTTTTTATCTGAAATGGAAATAATTATTTAAACAATTAAACTAAACTATTTTATAAAGCATTACATCACAAATATATATGTAAAAAATATTTTTATATGAAATTGATAAAAAGGAATATCTTTACTTAAGAGAAGAAATCAATTATATAACAGAATTTGAATATGATTTTTTCTTTTCTCTTTTTTTTGTATGTTTTCTATTCTTCATCTTTGTTCAAAAATATATGATATGTACATATATGAGAGACTCTATATTAATCTATACTATGTAAAATTCAAGTTTATGATTAAAGTCATCGCGATTAAAAATAAAATTTTTCTACGCTGACTTTTTATAATTTGTACAGCATTGTAAATGCTACAATCCATGCATTCAACTTCATTTTCGTCTATGATCCAATTTTTCTTCTAGTTGCAATTTCATTATTGTATCGATTATGCTCGAGTATGCGTCCGTTTTCAGAAAATTTTTATATTGTTAGAATTTTACTTTTTAAATTTTTAGATTTTTTAAGTTTCCAAATTTTAAATTCAACTTTTTTATATACCTGAAAAAATTCTTAAATTTTTAAAATTAAAATACGAAATTTTTCAACATTTTTAAAGTTTTAAAGAGTTTTGAGTAGCGAATTGAAATTTTAATCTTTTTGAACTTTTCTATATGTTGACGTATTAAAAATTCCAAAAAACATGGGTATATATGTATACATATTTATATACATTTGTATAT